CCTTCAACATCTCCTCTTTGAGAAGCTCATCAGCATTAAAAAAAAGTGAGCACAGGCGAATCAGCTCGGGGCTTTTTCTTTTAAGTTGGGGTATATTCAATTTTCTGGCTAGCAGCAGCTCTATTGCTACCTCAGTTCTGTTGTAGGATATAGTTTGGCACTTGAGCTGTGTCTTCTGTACTGAGTCATCTTGGAGATGCCACCACGCCAGAGCTTGGGCTGGACCTGCTCAAATTAACCACTAGTGCCCCTTCAGAGCCTCTGGGATTGTGGATTTTGAGTGGAAAGGAGAGGAACAGCACAGCAAAACTGTAATGTTGTAGAATAAGCAAATTCAGTTAGCTCCAGTTCCTGGGGAAGAAAAACTAGTTAGAAAAAAGCTTGGGAAAGAATGAGTGGATCAGGTGGCTGTACAAGAAAGTTATCATTAATTTATTGCTGAAGTGGATGGTGAGTTCTGGTGGGACATATCCTGAGTCCAGTCCTGTTCAGTATTCATAGAATGGCTGAGGGTGGAAGGGACCCTAGAGATCATCTGATCCAGCCTCCCTGCCATGGGCAGGGACACCTCTCAACTACACCAGGTTGCTCAGGGCCTCATCCAACCTGGCTTTGAACACCTCCATGGACGTGGCATCCACAACCTCTCTGGGCAATCTAGTCCAGAGTTTCACCACCCTCATGCTGAAGAACTTCTTCCCAAGATCTAGTCTGAACCTGCTCTCCTTCAGTTTAAAACCATTTCCCCTGGTCCTGTGGCTGGACACTCTTGTGACAAGTCCCTCTCCAGCCTCCCTGGAGGTTCCTTCAGGTACTGAAAGGCTGTTATAAGATCACCCCAGGAGTCTTCTCCAGGCTGAACAATCCCAGTGCCTTCAGCCTATCCTCATAGCAGAGATGTTCCAGCCCCTGAACGGGATCATCTTTGTGGCCTCCTCTGGACTCATTCCAACAGATCTGTGTCCCTCTTGTGGTGGGGACACCAGCACTGGTCACAGTATTCGAGGTGGGGTCTCACAGGAGCACACTCCCAGCTCTTGTTGAGCTTCTTGCCAGTCAGCACAGTATTTTCACTGGGGAGTTGGGTTGCAAGGCAGCAAGTGTGTCTGTGGGACGTGCAGGCTGCAGAGCAGTGAGGGGGTCACCAAACCCTCCGGGGGATTAAAACTCAACACGAAGTCTCATTGAACTGTGGAACTGTTCATGACCATGTCTGTGTTGGCAGGTGGTTATACTTCATCACATGTTGTCCAAAGCGACCGTGAAGGCCAGACCCTCTGTCCTGTGGTGTTACAAGAAGGAGCTGGGCTTCAGCAGGTGAGGAGCCTCGTGTGGCTTGTGCTGCTCTGTGTGAAGCAGGAGCTCCGTGACCGGTCTGCTGAGCGCAGGCTGCCTGAGCTGGTCGTGAGGAGAAACAGGATTAGTTCCTGGAGGAGCTGTAGGAGGTTTGGTCTTCCAGAACTAAAATTTGGGTTGTGTCATACAGATGATATCAGCACTAGGGGCTTCTAGTTTCTTTCTCTAGCCCTAATGCTAACTCTGTTGTCCTGAGCTAGTCTCTCCCTCTCAAAAGGCCAAAACTTCAATTCCTCAACTTAGCCTCAGTAATATTTAGGACTGAATGCAGATTAAGCATTAGAATGCCTTCATTTTGAAAGGGTGTTTAAAATTTTAATTCTTAGATTGGTGTGTGTAACTACAGCCTGCAGATGAAGTCAGGAAGGGTGATCTGGAGCTGTATGAGTCCAGCCAAGTGATTTCTTGCAAAGCCAGCTGGTTCTGTGTGCTGTTTCCATGTGCCTTCAGCCCAGAGTGGAGCAGGTGTCATGAAAGCAGAAACTGTGAGCCAAGACTTTTCCTCAGAGGCTCTGCTCTGACTTTCAGTTAGACAAGAACGTAGGTCTGGATGCACTCCTCTCTAAACCTTTTCCAAGAAAACTTCTGTGTAATTCTATCCTCCAGCCACCGGAAGAAGAGGATGAGACAGCTACAGAAGAAGATTAAAAGTGGAACTTTAAGCATAAAGAATGATGATCCCTTTGAGTTATTTATTGCAGCCACAAACATCCGCTACTGTTACTACAATGAGACTCACAAGATTCTTGGTAACACCTTTGGCATGTGTGTACTTCAGGTGAGGAGTTAAACTGTTCTTGACTCTATTAAACTTGCACTAGTATCAGTGGGTTTTAGTATAAATGCTGCAGATATTGTATTGGTTGCTTCTGTTATTTCAGTTACAATGGTCTTCTGTGTCTTACAAGTTTTGTGAGAGTGAGATATCCTTGCTGGTAAAATTTTAATGGAATGTTGGTTAATGGAAATGTTAAGTGTGAGTTAAACTTTGAGAAATAATGTTTTAGGCTTCCTGTTCCCTTTAGTAGGTGCTGTTTGTGCTGATGAACTCTAGGCAGCTTTCAAGTTTTATTTATTTCCTAGGATTTTGAAGCCTTGACTCCAAACCTGCTAGCTAGAACTGTTGAAACAGTGGAAGGGGGTGGAATTGTGGCAATTCTCCTGAGAAGCATGAACTCACTGAAGCAGCTCTACACAATGACCATGGTATGTTCAGTGTAATGGGCCTGGTTCTAAGCAGCTGCATGGTGGTGATGCTGAGGTTTGCTTTTCTTGTGGGTTGTGATTTCCTTTCATCATCTTTTCCTGCTCTTTCTTCTGTCTGTGATGGAATGTGTCTCCCACTTTGGCAGTTCTGCCAAACTCTGTGTCTTGAAATGCTGCTGGGTTACAAGGAGGAAACACCCATCATTCAAAAATGTAACTGTGTGCTTTTGTTTCACAACAGTTTTGGAAAGTATTTATGCCTGTGTAACAAAGTTAAGTGAAAACCAGACTCTTTGAGTGTTTTGTGACTTGTTGCTAGGTGAGATCAGCTTCACAACCATTATATGTTTCTAGATATAAACTATTCACACTGAGTTTACTTATATCTAGAGCAAGATTTGTTTCCCTTAGTGATGATGTTAGTAGGTGAATTAGAATTATAGACTTTTTTTCTATTAGAAAATGTGTGTTTGAAATGTTCTGTACCTGGCAGAGTTGACCTGTAAGTCAGACAAGAATAAGTAAGACCACAGTGTAAAGTACTGGTGGCAAAAGTACATTTTAACAATTATTTGGGAAGTGTGGCTGTTCCACAGCAAACAGAAAATGAGAATCTGAACCCTGCCTGGGACTGGGTGCTGATGGAAAGGGAGACTGTAATCCAAGAGAGTGGAAAAGAGTTTGGGTTATCTCTGAGTGACAACCTTGTTAGTGCTGCTCCTCCTCCAGACTGACCTTTTTTTGTTGTTCTTCCAGGATGTCCACTCTAGATACAGAACAGAGGCCCACCAGGACGTGGTAGGACGGTTTAATGAGAGGTGGGTGTTTAGGAGGGTGGAGGATCAAGGCTGTGTGCCCAATAAAAGCATCTGGAACAATGTCCTGTGTCCATAGCAGGGAAGCATCGTACAGGTTTGCATTGGAATGCAGCTTCTTGGCTCCTTCAGTGAAGTTTCCATGTTCTGTTGTGGAAAGGAGTAGAGTTTGTTGTTGGAGGAACTGTGTACAAAATTTTGGCATGTGTTACAAGGGATAAATGCAGATAGCCCTGAATTTGTAAACTGTTCTGAGTCCCTTTCTTGAAACACTGTGTAGAAACATGCACTTCAGGGGCACTGAGGCTCAGATACTTCTTGCACTACTGTAAAACATAAAACTCCTTACTCTGGGGTATTTTCTGTGGGTTTAGAAGCATCTTTTAAAGAGGTTTTCTCTGTGTTTGTTGTATAGAACAAGCAGCTCTTATTGAGTGAGGGAACCCTAGCTCCAGCCATTGGAATATTGCAGAAGTCATTCTTCAGTGGATATCTGGGGGTCAGCACTTGTCATAATTGCTGTTAATTCACATCTTACACTTTTGTGCAGCTACCTCCTGCTTAAGTAGTCTCTTGGTAGGGTGTCTTTAGTTAGTGTTCTTTGTTGAGATCCTGGTAAGTGGATACCTGTTTTGTGTAGATGATCCTGATTTTATGGTAAGAGCCACACAGCCACTTGTGTGAACTTGTCATAGCTCAACTATAGCTAGTTGTAAACACTATGGGGTTGAGAAAAGAATTTAAATTATCTGCCAAAACACAATTGTGCTGCTTGTGTTTTTACTGAGCTGCCTTTGCTTGACTGCTCAGGTTCATTCTGTCTCTGGCCTCGTGCAAGAACTGCATGGTGATTGATGATCAGCTGAACATCCTGCCCATCTCCAGTCACGTGGCAAACATCACAGCAGTGCCACCACAGTCACAGGTCAGTGAGGGAGGGCAGCCCCTTTTCCTTGGGAGAGGTTGGTCTGAGCTGACCACGGTGTGTCAAAGACTTAAAAAAGAATCTTCCCTTTCACCCTGACTTATATCAAATAATGGTCTTGCTATGGGAGAAGCATGGGAAGCTGGTTTTTCTTTCTTCCTTGCATTTTCTTCTGTCACAGCAGAAATTTTCTGTCCCAGTTTTAATTGGTTTGCAAGTTGATGTGCTGCTGCAGTAGTTTTCCCCCCTGCATGGCAATACGTACACGTCGTGTGACAGATATAACAAAGATCACAAAGTTTTGGTACAGCCTGAAGGCTGAAAAATGAGTTAAATTCTTCACAAAATTTGACCATGGCCTGTTCTTCTTAGCAATGCTGGTCTCTAGTTACCATGTACTGAAAAATCTTTTCCTTTTTGTCTCCAAGCTTGGGGGGGGGGACAGGCTACCCACCCCTTGTGTAACCATCCTCCTGAAGATGCCTCAAAATTGAAGTGTTAAATATCTCTGTCCATTGAAATGTTTCTGGGGAGTATATTCAACATTTCCTTGCAGATACCTTTCTCTGCCTGATAAAAGGTATCAGAAGACATCAAAAAGGTTTAACTGTGCTGAAATGTCCTTTAGTAGACCTGTTGTGAATCCTTTGCCTACAGGAAGACAGCCTCCGGCCACAGGACTTGGAGCTGAGAGAACTGAAGGAGAGCTTGCAGGACACACAGCCTGTAGGAGTGCTGGTGGATGGCTGTAAAACCCTTGATCAGGTTGGTGTGGCTCTAAATTTGAGATCCTCTGTGCTTGCCAGGTCACCTTAGGTGCTGGTGTTTGTATCTCATCTTGCACATAATCAGATCTGAGTGTGAGCAGTGATGGGTGGGATCTTGGAGAATTTCCTTGTAAAACTGAGTGGACATAGTATCTCAATGACAGTGTAAGTAGTTTTCTTCATGAAGCTGAGAATAAGTGGGAGGAATAGAATGGAGACATGAAGCTGGTCTGGAGAAGTCCACATTTAATAAGATGATGAGCTCCCAGGGTTTGAAACAAGCTGGAAACTTAACCTGAAATTTCCATGCAGTTTAATCCAGAATAAAAGTTGAAAATCCATATCCTGTGTTAACTTGCCCCTATTCCTGCCTCACTTATACTTTTTTTACTCTGATTTGAGAATCACCAGCTAGTGCCAATGAAAGCCCTGTTGCAGTTGCCTTTCCTGGTTTGGAGAATCCACTGAGAAGCTGCAGTTCAGGGTGGAGCTCCCAGAGCTGTGCACCATTTAAGCCCTTTTATAGCAGGTGTTCTCCCCACCCAGATGTGTTTGTTTCCCCCTCAGAGAGCAGTGTGCCTCCTCCCATCTTGCAGAATATGCTCTGTGGTCAGTGGCACAGAGGCAGTAGCAGAATTGCTGAACTGATTGTTGATCTGTGTTGTGACCTGAATAATTTCAAGAACTCCGTGGGTCAGGATTATCACTTCTTGCACATTTTTTACTGGGATTTAATGTTTGGCTCTTCTTGTCTTCTCTTCCTTCTTGCTGTTCAAGGAAAAAAGACTGGTACTAGTGCTAAGTGTAAGTAATGCCAAAAGCAGTTTAAACACAGCTCATTTTTCTGTGGTTTGGGTTTTTTTTCCCGATCCCCAGGCAAAAGCAGTTCTGAAATTTATTGAAGCCATTTCTGAGAAGACCCTGCGGAGCACTGTGGCACTGACAGCAGCCAGGGGCCGTGGCAAATCTGCTGCTTTGGGACTGGCTATTGCTGGAGCAGTAGCTTTTGGGTGAGTGATCCCCCTCAATCTCCCACGTTTTATTTGCGTCCATGAGTTTTAAAATAAAAATTGGTTTTGAGTGACAGAACCTGAATCTGTTTATGATTTCCAGTCCTACATCCCTTCTTTTTATTCTTATGTCTTTTGTTTGCTGCATACACTGTTACACAAACTTTTCTATTTTATAGTAATAAGAAAACTTGAGTCTTTAGAAATCAAATTAATCACACATAGATTGAGATAAAGTGTCTAAAGGAATCTGCTGAGTTTTGGTGATTAGGTAAAATCAACCTGTTACATACAACTTTCTATTTCAGTATGTAAAATTTGCTAGGAAAAGAGTTAAACTCTTGTTTTATTTTTCTTTGCAGTTACTCCAACATCTTTGTTACATCTCCAAGCCCTGATAACCTTCACACCCTCTTCGAGTTCATATTTAAAGGCTTTGATGCACTGCAGTATCAGGTACAGAGCAGGTTATTTTACAGGGCTTTGACAGTGTTCCTTTTTAAGAGGGGTTTTGCACCTCAGCTGTGGTTTTTGTTTACAGATATTAGAATTCTAGTACTGTTATGTTTCCTTCTCTGGTTTTTAAGTTGGGTAAAGCTGTTTCTTTGTGGAATAGTTTTTGATGTAAGTAACGAACTTCTGAATTCTCAAGTCTCTGAAGCTCTCGTTATAAAAATTTTTAACTAGAATCTGAAATAACAGTGTACTTGTCCTGAGCCCGTTTGCCTGATAATGGTGAAGGATGTTTTTCTTAGCTCTTGGCTTGTTCATACTCTTTAACAGTGTTTTCTTTTAGGAACACCTGGACTATGAGATCGTTCAGTCTCTAAATCCAGAGTTTAACAAGGCTGTTGTCAGAGTGAATGTGTTCAAGGAGCACAGACAGACCATTCAGGTATCTGGCTGCTCTTGCACTCTTGCCTTTCTGCCTTTCGTTCCTGACTCTTGGCTTTACCAGTGCTGTTGTTGGTTTGATTTTAAGTATGTTCAGTTTGTGTGACATGTAACTGTCCTGGCTGATTTTGCTTTAGAGGCAGACCTTTCTTTTTTGTTTGTTTTTTGAGAATGATTTCCACAAAATATCTTCTTTCTTTCTGTGAATAATAGATGATGAAGCTCCCTTGGTAATTGCTTGTGGGTTTCTTCTTGAAACTCAAGTGGAGGAAGGTGAAAGGAGCAGTGAAGGAAAAGCATATGCTGCTAGTGGTTAGATTTCCTTTCTTTTCATGATCTCTGCAGATAAATTTGTGTGGAAATGTGCAAAACAAGATGTGTGACCCAGTCCTTTTAGGATCTTTTAGGTCCTTTTAGGAGACGTAACAGGAACCCTCTCTCCCAGCTATTTGCTTTCATCTCTTGGTCTCTGGCTTGATGGTGGCAGAGGGCAGGGACCACACACAGCTTTTCAGGGCTCCAGCTTTGCCAGCTCTGACATCTCCAGACAAGCTGTTGTTGACAATGGTGGTGTCCTCTCATTCCTTGCAGTACATACACCCTGCTGATTCTGTGAAACTGGGTCAAGCTGAACTGGTGGTGATTGATGAAGCTGCTGCCATTCCTCTTCCCCTGGTGAAAAACCTGCTAGGTCCTTATCTTGTTTTCATGGCTTCCACAATCAATGGGTAAGGCCTGAGTAGCCCCTGTCCACCTGGGAAGGCAGTTGTGCAGGTGCCAGTGGGCTGTTGCTTCTCTAGAGTACTTCTTTTATCATAAACTATTGCATCAGGTCATGCTAATTCTTGATCTGTCATGGAACTGCTCCTTAAAATAACCAAGAGTCAGTTCTTGAACTTGTTGCTTTCTTTTGGTTCTACTGTGGATTCATTAAGTGTCTGACTTGCACCTCTTCTGCTACAAGAAGCAAATGCATAAACAGGACTCTGCAGTCTGTCAGGGGGAGGGAAGAGTGACATCTTCCTTCCAGTACATAAGAGTGAAGTGACAGGGTGGGCTGCCCTGTGCCACGTGCACAAGGACATCAGAAGGCAGCAATTCTCAGGGATGGTTGCTGCCCTCACAGGCCTCAGAACAGCACAGAGCTCTGGATGGCAGCCTTGTCCTGTGCTGGAGCTGCCCCGTGGCTCAGAGCTGCTGTCAGACTTCTGTCTTCTGCTTTCCAGGTATGAGGGTACTGGTCGGTCGCTGTCTCTGAAGCTCATTCAGCAGCTCCGTCAGCAGAGCGCCCAAACCCAGATCACCATGACAGCAGAGAACAAAGCTACAGCTACAGCTAAACTTTCCTCAGGTACACAACCATGACCTTTAGTGCTTGCTGCTGACTGCCAAGCCCTGTGGGTATCCCCTGTGTCCATGTTCTTCACTGCTGTAGGAAGGGAGTGGTGTGGGACAGTGAAGGAGCTCTCCTTTTTATCCTCATGATTTTCACTTGTAAAGTCATTTAAGGGATAAACTCTGTTTGAGTTGTGATTTTTTAATCTGGGAGTCCTTCAGAAGACCCTGATCCTGCTGGGTTCTTGGCTGGCTGCAGCTTGCAGTGCTGGATGTTGTCTCTGAAATGTGTTTGCAGCTCGGACGTTGCACGAAGTCTCTCTCCACGAGTCCATCAGATATGCCCCTGGTGACCCCGTTGAGAGGTGGCTGAACGAGCTGCTGTGCTTGGACTGCCTCAATATCACCAGGATTATCTCTGGCTGCCCGCTGCCTGAGACCTGTGACCTGTATCCTTACTCAGCTGTTATGCTCTGGTCAAAATATGTCTCCTGGTTTCCAAGAATGTTTTCTTAACCCCTGTGGTTAGATACTACGTCAATAGAGACACTCTCTTTTGTTACCACAAAGCATCAGAGGTTTTTCTGCAGAGACTGATGGCTCTCTACGTGGCTTCACACTACAAGGTAAAGCTTGCTGCCACTTCTATCAGAATTTCAGCTAGGAATTTTGTGAAGGGAGCAGTGCTTGTTAGAACAGTCCGATTGAATTGACCTACTTGAGGTTTTTCTGAACAGCTTCAGTTGCTTCCTGTGGTGTACAGATCTATGTTCTCCCTTCTCTGAGAAGGTCTCTGTCTTGGCCTGGGCTGAATGTACTGGATTTACAGATACCTGGAATATTTTTGTCTTGAAAAAGTCTGGAGACTGAACTCTAGATGAGCCTACAAGCTTGTCAGAATAGTATCAGTGATGAAACTCTTTGGCAGTTCTCTTTATTGTATTCTAGTAGACTCAAATCATCTCAAGGTGTCAACATCATGGATAAGTAGTAAATGGGAGTGGTAAAGTCTGTAAATACTGAGGTATTGAGTACTAAAAGTCTGTCCCATCAAAAAGAATTATTTAAGGTGTGGTAGATTAAGAGATAAGTAGCTCTATAGAAATGGAAAGTTAGTTCCATACATATTAGAGTATAAGAGGTTTCGTTTGAGAACACATGCTGTCTGGGAGTGGAACAGCCATGAACTGGCCTGTGAGTTTCATCCATCAATACTTTACTAGTTCCAAGTTTCTTAATATTCCTAAATTCAGAAAATGGAGGATTGTTTAGAAGTCAGTTAACATTTGGACTCTGAAGCTCTTTTCATGGAATAATGCTTCACCATTGGGATGTGTCCTTCCCCCCCAGAACTCCCCCAACGACCTCCAGATGCTATCTGATGCACCTGCCCATCATCTTTTTTGCCTTTTGCCACCTGTTCCACCTACCCAGAACTCCTTACCAGAAGTACTTGCAGTGGTTCAGGTAAGAGGGCAGCACCTCTGGATGAAGTGAAGTGCTGAGCAGTGCAGCAGCACACTGCTGCTGGGCAGTGTACTCTTGGTGTACTCTAGGAGTAGACTGTAGCTTAGGGCTGTGGGTTTGTGTGGGTGACAAGTGTATTAGGCTCTTTTTTCCCTCCTGCTTTCTTTTGTTAACACTAATTGCTGTGCAGATACATTGTGGTGCTGATCCTTTCACATAGACCTCCCAGTCTCCACAATGTGTTTGTGCTGAGAATCCTTCTGAGCAGCTGAACTGTTGCTTCAAGAGGTGACCTTGTCCTCCCATTTCAACCTCCTGCCAGAAGAGCTGGCTCACTGGCTCACTGTCTCACTGGCTCACTCTGCCTCTCCCATGTTTCTGCCATTCCTTTTATTTGCAGTAGAACTGGCAAAGTACAAACTCCCCAGATGCACGTGCTTGGAGTGTAGAAATCTTTCAGCCCTTCAGTGTTGGGTTATCTGACTGTACACTTCTTTCCTTCCTTAAGATTCTTAATTATCTGTGTTTGATGCAGCCAGTTAAATCCACTGTTCCTTAAAAGAAAAAGCCCCATTTACCTGAAAAATACAATAAAGACAAATATCAGTGGGACAAGCTTTTATTTTTGCTGTTGATGGACCGTAGAAAATTAATAAAGCACGTTATGCTTTCATCTCTTCAGGCTTCTGTGGCACCATAGTGTGATGCTGCTGTGTCAGGTGTACCTGGCTGGTTACACACCAGCCTGTGGGGTGCTTGTTGGGGGCTTTTTGGGACAGAGCTGCTTGGTTGGCAGATCTGTGTTTCCTCACCATGTTGCAGAGCAGGGATCACATGAAATGGCAATACTGTGTGATGCACTCAGCAACTGAGTGGAAATTTGGGTTCTGCTCTAATGGAGTGACTGTAGGAGGAGGCACTTTTTCTCCATTAATGGTCTTCTACCTTTTCTGGCAGGTGTGCATGGAGGGAGAGATCTCTCGCCAGTCCATCATGAACAGCCTCTCTAGAGGGAAGAAAGCTTCTGGAGATCTTATTCCCTGGACCATTTCAGAGCAGGTGAAGAACTGGGCTGTGTGCTCTCATCCAGGAGGCATTGCAGCACTATTTCCAGAGTCCACATCTGTGTGCTTTAAATGGACTTTTGTCTCTCCCACAGTTCCAGGACCCAGACTTTGGAGGCCTCTCTGGAGGGCGTGTTGTTCGCATTGCGGTTCACCCGGATTACCAGGGGGTAAAGTGTTTGGAACTCAGCCAGTGTGAGCAGTCAGCAGTGGTACCAGGAGAATGGCTGCACAGGCAGAATTCAAGAATAGGACAAACATTGTGGCTGCTCCAGTTTTCAGCATGTAGTAGTGTCCTTCTCCATGGAGCTGTTGTGTAGCAAAGCAGATTTTCACAGTGACAAGTGATCTCCGCACTGATGATTGTTGATGGGTTCACAGGGGAGAAGGTTGTTGCCTTGTCTTAAAAACTAGATAGATCTTTTTTTCTTATAGTGTATTGTTCCTACTTCACAGATGGGCTATGGCAGCAGAGCTCTGACTTTACTACAGATGTACTATGAAGGCAAATTCCCGTGCTTGGATGAAAAAACAGTTGAAAAGCCAAAAGAAATTGCAACTGTGAGCAGTGAGGTATGGAGCTCAGCACATTTCCTGTGCTCTCTGTTGTGCTAAACTTTGTTTTTCACTACGTCTCAATAATGATTCCTTTCTGTAAGGAGGAAATAGTCACATTTGTTTTTTTATTGAAGAAGTGTAATGTGCAGATTTCTGTGAGGATTGCTACTAACCCATTTCCACTTTCTTTTCAGACTGTTAGTTTGTTAGAAGAGGTTGTGACACCTCGGAAGGACTTGCCTCCTTTACTTCTCAAGCTGACTGAGAGACAAGCTGAAAACTTGGACTATCTAGGGGTATCTTATGGCCTGACACCAAGACTACTCAAGTATGACATTATTCTGTTTGCTAGTTACATCCAGTGCAAAAATATAGCTATAAAAATTACATACATATTGTTATAATATATAATATAGAAATAATGTATACAATAATATAATGTATAGATA